CCTACTCCTAAAAGTACAGATATACAACTTTTTCTCTTTCCCTTCCTAGTCGTCTTACTGCATCCATTCATATATTGCGGCATTCTTCCAATTGTAATGAGAGCCGTGTTCTTTCTCTCATATATATATATATATATATATATGTTGGAAACTGTGAAACGGGCGTAGAATAAAAATAAAAAACAAAAAGCGCTATGTTGAACATTATTGATTATATTCAATCGAAAGAACTTCAATTGGCATCTACGACTTTCTGCCAACGATTGGGCATGCCATATATGCCTTCTTTTAAAAATCATTTTAGAGTTCATAAACAATTCACTCTATAATATCATGTTGGCTATTGGATTTTTTCATAATAAATAATTCATGCCTACAAAAAGAATAATAATCGGTAAGTGAAATACCTGGTGAATATGGAGGATGTGGGAAAAGTTCATATTGTAAAGTTAATTTGTCAACGGTGGTTGCAGCTTTATGTGGTCGTGAGTTATCATGCAATAATATTGCGCCGATCCGACTAAGCAATGCTGGCAGTTTTTTCATAAATTTTCTCATGTACGACATCAATTAGACGGCAAAAGGGCTCTGCTGTTTCACCTGGTAACCATGAAATTTTTTTAATGAAATTTCGGCTTAGGGGTGTGTCCAGAGGGTGTATTTTTATCTACCCGTTTGTTTGATCCTTTTGATTATCATACACACATACATTTACTTCTTATCACAAGTGAGGATTTTGTGTTAAAAAAACGGCAATCATGTATTGCGAAGCAACAAAGATGTGCACTTCCTCTTGCGGTCGACTATCTGCACACAACGTTTTAATAAAGCCGTACGGCCAGTTACTAGTTTACACTTAAATCCACAAATGGTTGTGTGTGGAGCGTATTCCACAGCCGTCCTTAATTTCTCGTTATCAATATGGCCCGGTGATATTCCTTGTGGCTCGTTGATGACACTCAAACTGCCAGAACGAAATGTGGAACTAATATCGCGCATTTTTTCATTAGTGGATCCATTTCCGAATGCGTGATTAATGTTTCTCTAAACTTGAGCTGCGCTATGATTCGAGTTCAACTGGTACAAGAAAAGTAGATGTAAATCGCGTTTTATTTCTATCTAGTTTTGGAGAAAAAGGAAATAAAAATTGGGTTACAAACACGAAAAATTTTACGAAATGAGTAAAGAGAAAACCTAAAATATATGAATGAAATTATCGAGCGCACGTTAAAATGAACCTCTCCCAGTCGCATCTGAACACAGACTAAACAGAAACGCCCGTTTCATAGTTTGCAACCTAATATATGCGGCGGGAGAGCCTATGGTACGCTGAGGCTTGCGGTGGCTAGATCCTGACAGATGGTCTACCAACTGCTGCTACTGTTGTGCCATAAGCTTATGTTCTGGACGCCTCCTCGTCGCGACCGCTGGGTGGGAGTTGGGTTCCGCCCTTCTCCTAGTTAAGAGCAGGACACCAATCGGCATGAGTCAGTGAACCGATGATATGCTAGACTCGCTGCCTTTCGGGTGTACAATAATCGAGGGCTCTCGCTGAGGACCGATTCGTTCTCCTAACAGATGTGGGCGCCCTGCCTGTATCCTATTTCAAACCACATCTTCGGAGGTTAGGAAGTGGTATATGGCCCTCTTCCCGTAAAACTTAGCCATAGAAGACAACAGGTCCACGGGTTATAAGCCAACCGATCGATTGGCGTAGAGCACGAGCGCCACGCAATGTCTTTGACGGTGGGAGGGCACCGCCGGGTGCTCAATGGTTTGCTACTGCCCGCCCTGAGCCATGCAGCTATTGGTGAAAATGGTGCAAACCCGCCAAAACCCTTCTGCGTCTGGTCGTGGTCGAGGTGCGTAGTCTAGTACAGTCGCAAAACACTAGATGTTGGTGAAGATAAGCGGCAAAATAGTGGGGTTAAGCTAGCAGACCAATAGAATGTAAGGAAATTCGAAGCAAAAAGGAGGTGCATTAAACCAGTCAGAATGGAAAGAAAATTACCAACCACATGAAAGAAACCAAATGCAGAAACGCCCCTAACTGCGCGATTGCGGCACCTCTGATAAGATCTCCAAGCATTCGTGTGTACCATCCGGAGGGGCCCAACAAAGAAGACGGCACGCACCAGCCTGACCAAGTTTTTCGGTCAATTTCTTCAGACCTCTATGCCACATCATGGAGTGGCCACCTCGCGGTTTCGCCCAACGTGATGCAGTCATGACGCATAATGCCCACCGATAAAGCCGATCAAGGGGGATACCGAGAACATAGTCTAGCCAATGTAAGCCATTAGGATTTAGCGAACACTCCAGTGGGGCACCAGAAGGCTTCTTGTCAAAAATCAACCGGCGGACCTCAGCGTTGCTCACTCTATGTTCCCACCAGAAGTGAGCAATACTCCCCAAATACCGGTGGTCAAACACAGCCAAATGTTTAAGGTCTTCGCCGCAAACTGGCCAAGTCTCTGATATATACAATAACAGGCCTTATCGCAGTGTTATACATCCCACCTTTCACTGGCAGGCTGATTTCCCGCCTTCTCCATAGATGGATGAGCCCGTGGAAAGCCAACCAGGCGTTGCTGATACGCGAAGTAACTACTGTGAGGTGACCACCACTGTGACACAGCGACTAAAATGAGTAAACCGATCCACCACTTCCAGTAACTGTTCGGTGATAGCTAGAATCGGAGGTGTGGGCTTTCAGTCCTGCAGCAATACTCGCATCTTGAAGATGCAAAGTACATGCCGAAGCACAAAGCACTACACACAAGTCTATGCGGTAGTGTTTGCACAGCCAATGCATCGGACCCAAGGAGAACTATATCGTGCGTATACTCCAGTTTTATCAGTCGGTAGCCTGACAGAAGTTCCACCCCAAAACAGACATTCATAACCATGTCGATCACAAAGTTGAAGAAAAAAGGAAATATGGCACAATTGGAGAACCCCACGTGTTGTGGGGGAACACAGGAGAGTTTCCCGTAGATCTTTAAACGGTCTCGGCAATCACGGTAGAAACTTGAGAAAGGAAAAGAGTTTAGCTGGCACGCCCTTCATGGACAGGCAGTGCCATAAGTTGGCGTGGTCGAGTCGAGAACGGCTTACAAGTTAATAAAAACCACCATAGTCTGTCGTTCGTATGTGTCCCTGCTCTGAACTGTGGCAAAGTGTAATTATGTGGTCGATACAACGACGATTAGGGCGGAAGACAGCCTGGTTTTCAGTGACTTGATCCTCGTTTGAGAATGATACGCGTAAGAACTTTGAATACAACAAAAATAAGGTTACTGCCTCGAAGGTTTTCGCACAAAGTACACTAACCCACTTGAAGTTGGGCACGAAAGTTGGCAGCTGTCACTCTGAAGGCACATCTGCCGTGTTCCAAATCGTTTTAAAAAGATAAGCAAGTCCAGTCAACAAAGAGTCACCACCTTCTTTCAGCAAAGATGGGGGAAGGTTCTCGGGTATAGCAGCCTTGTTTCGTTTCGACACAGAAAGCTCATGTCCAAAGTGGGAAGTGTGACATCAACATCCCACATCGGTTCCGGCAATTCAGTAACCGGCAGCGTTACAGCAGTCCCGTTGAACTGCTCTTCAAAATGGTCAGCTCAACGGACTAGTTGACGACACTAAGAATGAACAAACAGTCCGCCTTTGCACCTGTTAAAAAAATGAACAAATCAATAAAGGTTTTATTCTCGACAATGCGAGACACGCTTGTATAGGCATGATTACGGTGATACGAGCTTTAAAGACAGGGAAATGTAAATAGCGGTAAATACTTCTCAGTGGCATATAAATCAATGTGGAAGATGTATTTAAATGTTTGTAGGTATGAATGTGTATGGCTGTGTAGCTCGGATTTGTGATAGTTTTTGGTCGGATCGTCAGCGCGGGGGAATGGAAATCTTCGTATTGAATGACTGATGTCGGTGGATTGGGTAAAAGTATCCGGATATGTAAGAGGCAGTGACGTGAGTTAGTGGGGATTCACATTCACTACGTCGCAGTGTTGTTAAACAGACATTTGTGGCTTTTTATAGGGAGGACGCTTGCCAGGCGGAAATTCACCACGTCCTGGAACACTGCCGCAGAACCATTCGCCGGAACGGGATTAATCCGAATCACCCAGCTGGCACCCCGAGGTTGTTCGGCGAGCCTTGTTTCGTCTCGACACAGAAAGCTCATGTCCAATCTCATCCAAAGTGGGATGTGTGACATCAACATCCCACATCGGTTCAGGCGATTGAGCAAGCGGCAGCGTCGCAGAAGTCCTGTTGGACTGCCCTTCAAAATGTTCAGCTCAACGAGCTATTCGACGATGCTGAGAATGGACCAGTTGTCCATCTTTCTCAGCTATTGTCTCACTAACTGATGGCTTTCTCGGACTCGTGTTCAGATGAGCTGGAACACCACTCGACTGTTTCTAATAGCGTTGGCTTTCTCCATCTCACGTTCCCGGTCGATACGAAGATTCCTTGTCAGACATGGTTTCGGTGAGTTACGGAGCATGTTTCGTACCCGGCTCAAACAAACAAAGAGAACCAATAGACACATGCAAAAACAATCGATCCAACAAGTGAGGTGGAAGAACCAGGAAGCGTGTGAAGGCAGAAGACAAAGGGCTCGAACAACAAGGACAGAGTAAGTTCAGTTAGAGTTGAACCAAATGAGTGGACTACTATATTAGATAAACGTTTTAGCTCATTGGACTAGGTGGTTTTTGAGGTCCGTACCCGAATTATATGGACCGGTCGCAGTGAATCTGAATGGGGACATTCCGTGCAGGGTGATGAGGTTTGAAAGCCAGTTATTAGGTGGCGACAACATGCGAACTGTTAAATGCCCGTATTCGGCCGGTGTGGTTCCAGTCTAGTTCAAGTCTGACCTGAATCACATTACAATGATTATTTGAAGAACTAAAGCAATATAAGAATAAAGGCAGCATTGTGCTGAAAATGAAACACAAAAGTGCTCTTGGAGGTTACCTTGGGATGCGTTCGATGGAACATTTCGGCCAAATGTGCACCCAACTGTTAGGTTAGTAAGTTCACTGCGTAAGGACTGAATCTCACTGTTCTTCTTACGCAATTCGTACTCCAATACTATAAGCGAACGAGTTAAACAAGAGAAATAATCAAACCTTTAAGCTTTTCCTCTACGCTATTCCCATCATCCGAGATGCGGCCTATATCCATGGAGTCGAGGGTGGAAACACTCGAACAACGAGCTGGCGAACAGGATAAACTGAAAGTTATGGGGGCACTTACCAACGGTAGGCGGACCTTCGCATTTTAATCCGCACATATTTTCGAAGAAGGACGCATTTGAGAAAAAACCGTTAAGCTGTGGAAGACAAGTGCCCCGATCCAACTGTTCGAAGTGAAACTCCAGAGCGGTCAGATAAAACTTCTCCTCGATTAAGTACTGTGCCACGGTTAAAGCATTTGTGTTTACATTTCGATCAGCATGCGTGACAGTAAGAGACGCCTCCACTGACAAGCCGGGTGGAGGATGGTCGAACGAAACTTTTCCGCCAGTGCCATTCATAGTTGGCAAGCTCAAACATCTATCGGGAAACTAGCTGAAAAAAATTAAAAAGGGTCATAGGTAGTACCTGTTACTCTAAACAACACATGCCGCGCAAAAATCGCCTCCAATACGCCTGCAAACTTAAAGCATCAAGGTGATTGGAAGACCAACTTGGAATATAGCGATATGGCATTTTGTAGACTTTTTAACGTAGAAACGTGCACTTAGGTAGCTACTAATCGTACAATATATATATATATATATATATATATATATATATATATATATATATATATATGATTGCTTGGCGACATCCGGTTTCGGATTTGCCTGTCACTGTGGCCAGCCACAGGGCGCCTAAGCCTACAGAGGGACCATGGGTGACTTGCGCTGCACCACCCACAGCTCCAACCACACACTAAATATCCAGTGCAAACCCGAAGGAATGAGACTGGGAGGCATGTGGATGGGGGCCAGGTTTCATCAACGGAGCCGCCCCACACTCCTTCGCAGGCAAACACAAGCACGTTGTATTTGGGGAATCAATCGCACACAAGGTGGTGGCTGGATCGTAGTCCGCTCCACACTGAGTGCATGGAACCACACTTCGAGGCTAGCACGGCCACAAGGACCGTGCACCCCGTCCCTCCAGTAACGACCAACTGTCTCATAAAGACAGTATGGACGAGGTAGTGTGTAATAGACAGGTACGCACCTTCTCAACATGGACATCGAGCGCAGCCACACCGGAGATAACAAGCAACAACCAATCACTTGAAACAAGAGGAAATAAAATAAATCGAGTAATGCATAAGGAAACAGTGGCCTAAATCTCAAATTAATGAGCATTTGAAATAAGTTGTTCACAAACGAATGCGAGATAAGTTCATGAGGTCAGAAGGTATATTTGACGGAAATGCCACAAACACGAAAATGTTATCGAAATTAACTACAATTGGATTAAACGACCTTTGCAAGTTTATAGAAAACAGTACTGGCAGACATTTATATGAGAAAGGAAAGCATTAGGACAAAATTGCAAACCCACCACCTGAAATAGACTTAGCATGCAAGCACGCGTTAAGTAAATCGAATGCAGCGTACCTACAAACAATGCGCCGGTTCTACCTACGTTCTCTGAAGGACCCGTCGTCGCTACGGTAGTGGTCCCGAGTGGCCTCGCTCATGGCTCACTATGCTTGCCTGACGCAGGCACTCGCGACCGCATGTGCTACAAGCACCATGCGCTCGACATCGATGGAGTACAACCCATCGGTGCTTGCCGCTTCTTCTCTGCATGTATGAGGTCTTTCTCCCGCACTCCGACAACTGCCTTCGTGATCAGGTCGCACCATGCACGCCGATCAACCGTCTTTGATTTCAATGACCTGCAATCAAGATAAGAACGTGAGAGGCTCACTTTGATAATGTCCTGGTAACGTGACTTCGGTTTCCCCACAGGTCCTCCGCACGTCCCGACGAGGCCACAAGTGCGTCATATGCTGATCGTGCTTTAGCGATGCGAAGAGAAATTTCGTTGCTGATAGTGCCGTCAGCAGAAACACAGCTCCCAAGGTAGACGAAACTATCTACCTGTTTAAGTTGTGCACCTTCAAAAATGAGCACGGGAGTAGGTGTAAACCAATCCTGGAACAGTACTTCACACTTCGATGGGGCGAAGCTCATGCTATATTTAGGTGCTTCAACCACCAGAGGATACAGAATGAGTTGCATACCCTGAGGATCGTCACCAAGTAAGGCGATATCATGTATAAGCTAAGTCGTCCGCGCGCTCACCCGGTGGAAGCTCTGGGCTAAAATGCTGGAAAGCTTCTAGAGCACTCGACGGAACATCTTCGATCGCAGAGTTGAAGAGGAATGGGGACATAGGGCAGCCCTGTCGCACACCGCTATTGACAGCAAATTGCAAGGAGAGCTTGCCATAGACCCTCACTCTGCCAGATGTATGAAGGTAAAGTGCTCGTAAGTTGGCGGTATATTTCTCTGGCACCCCGTTCTTTAGCGAGCAACGCCATAAAGCAGGTCGATCAACGGAGTCAAAAGCGGCACGTATGTCTAGGAATGCAACGATAGTGGGCCTGTGATAAATGTGGCGATATTCAAAGAGTTGGCGGAGCGTGAAGATTTGATCCACGCATCCGCGGCCAGGACGGAAACCAGGTTGTTCTTCACGGCAGGATGATTCACGTATTAAGGATAGTCTACCGAGCAGAATGGATGTCAATCGCACGGAGGCAAGCGAAATAAGACTAACCCCGCAATAATTTACATATGAAGTGCGAAAGCCTTTCTGGAAAATCGGGACAATAACTGATTCGCCCCATTATGAAGGCACTTTCTCTTCATCCTAGATTTTTGCGAACAGCAAGGTAAGTTCGTTAATGATCGCCACGACGCCGTATCTGAAAAGCACTGGAGGATGTCTGTCTGAGCCGGTAACCTTGAAAAATTTCCAGTGTTGACTCTCGAGGCACAGATCCGCATCCCTGGGTGAATTAGGGGGGGGGGGCGAGAAATGTGTACAACAAGGTGTACTGCATGTACTCCTGGACGGTGAAGGCCAGCTGAACTGCGAGTGAGTGTACGGCACAGCGATCCATACGCCCCTACTGGTTGGTGATCGGAGACTCATCCACCTCACAAATGACCTCACTGACACCAGTGGAAAGGATGAGTTGGAAAAGCCTGCGAGTGTTGCCAGAGAGAGCAGCAGTCTCCATCTCTTAAGCACGCTCAGACCACCATGTTTCGCAATAATTGCGTAGGCTTTTCTTGAGCAGCCGGTGAGCAGAACGGTGCCGTTCGAACAGCACCAGAGAACGTGCAGAGACGCAACCATTTACGTAGCGTCAAGCTAAGCCGCAGAATGACTGTCCGGAAATGGTCAGCGCTTTCTGTATACAAGTCCAGTGTTGTTCCACTTCTTGCGGTGGATTGCAACTGAGTGCATATGCCAGTGAAGACTGATAGCCGTCCTGGACAGAGGAATCAGTTAATCTGTTTACATCAATCTTGCGGTGCTTCGTGTTTCGGGATATTCCAAAACACATACAGATTTTCACGCAGACCAGAGCATGATCTGAATCAACGAAAGTGGAGCAAAAGGACCTGCAGTCCAGTACGCTGCCGCGCCATCTGAAGCCAATCGCAATGTGATCAATTTGAGACCACGGTTGTGTTGGTGAAGGGGGACGCCACGTTGCGCAACGCTTCTTCGTACGCCTGAAGCTAGTGCTCGAAAGAAACAGACAGTTGTCCTCCAACAATGTGAGAAGTCTCTCTCCGTTATCAGAGCGGTTCTCATCGAGCGCGTGATGACCACCAAGGTGGCGTTCGTATGGTAAGAGTCAGCCAACCCGTGCATTAAAATCCCCAGCAAGGATAACGACATCCGACGTTTTAGCACTAGTCAAGAGCTGATGTAGATCTCGGTAGAAATCGTCCTTGACCGAACCGCCACTGCAGTCAGTTGGAGCGTACGCGATCACAAACAAGTTGCGCCTCTCTTCGCGACGTTTGTTGACTCTACACGAACCCCGAAGCCGAACTGCACATAGTCGGCTGTTAATCGGGAACCAGTCCAGTAGTGCCGCCTCGGCCTTGTCACTTAGTACTATACCTACATCAGCCAAACCTGCTGAGGCTGCTTCTGGATCTCCAGAAAGACGCAGGTGATATCTGGCTACGTGATCAGTGGGGGATGTCAATGTAAGCACAGTGCTGGGATCTTGCAATCGGGTTTCTGATAGGCAGATGATATCAATATCAAGGTACTCTAGGGTGCGCACTAGACCGGCTTGCTGTCCAATCTGTATGTGTCCGAAAATTGAAGCACACCAGACGGAACGAGGATCGGGGACGAAGGAGAGCCATAGGTTGAACTCCCTGGTGCGCAGCGCAATCAGAATCGCAGCCAGATTTTTGAACACATGAATCGGGTAACGGAAACTAAGGATTATTAGCAAACAAACAATCGGCGTGTGATGTAATCGCGTGACTGTGAGAAGAAACAGTAGCTGATGAGCACGCTGTAGTACAGTCCATGGTTTTGCTACAGGGCGTGATACTACCCGGTTGCTCAAGCCGAAGTAGGGAGTTGATTAGGGGACCACACTCCGAGTCCTTGGCTAAATAACCTACCCGCAAGGCAGCGGGGCAATTTCAAGGAATCGCACCCATTGGGAGTCACTGACTGAATGTTCAGTTCATCCATCTTTCGTTTGGTAGATCAAACAGGAGCCCAATACTCCCCATGAAATCAGTACAAATGCTGGACCACAATGTCCCACCGAGGTAGAACACTCGCCGAACACTTCGCTGGAACGGGGTACACCCGAATCACCCAGCTGGCACCATGAAGTAGTTCGGCAAGCTATTCTAAAGGTAATGGAGATCAAACTGATCCCTCGATGATTGCCGCAATCCGAACGGGAGCCTCCATAGAAAAATGGGACTGTGATGGAGCGGCTCCAGTCTGTCAGGACAGTTTCTTGCTCCTAAAGTTCCACTAGCAACACGTGTAGATCGTCTACAAGAGCAGGTCCACCGAATTTGAGAGGGGCTGGGAAAATTCTACCTGCCCCTGCGGCCTTGTGCAATTTCAACAACCTGATCCCACATTCGACCTGCACGTGAGGGTTGATCTAAAGGGACGGCCCATGGAGAAGGGCATTCCATGACCGAAAAAGAAAGCGATAACTCAGATTGGTTAAACGGCCTTGCAAAGATCTCGGTCCAACGTTCCAAGCGTTTTGACAGGTTGTGGAATGGTTGTCCACTATCGTCGTGTGTGGTCTCCTTAACACCAGGTTTCCTGCTGGCTAGCCGAACGACCTCCACTTAGTGCCAGCTGGGTGGTCCGAGTTAATCCCGTTCCAGCGAATAGTTCGGCGGCAGTGTTCCAGGACGTGGTGTTTTCGCTTGGCAAGCGTGCTCCCTATAAAAAGCCACATATGTCCGTTTAACAACACCTCGACGTGGCAGAGATGACTCGCCAC